GTTTTTGAAATTTTTGACATGGATTATAAGAAAATTTTCACCGAAAGTACATTTTGTAGAACATAAAGATGATAGTTTGGTGTTGTGGTATGGGAAAAACGAAAATTTAACAAAAATAAACAATAAAACATAAAATAAATAAAATTAATGGTTTAGGCGCAAGGAGATGAGCTCAAACTCACGCCAAGACCCAAATTCATGCCATCGGGAAGGCCCAAGGCGCAGTAGAACAGTGGAGGGCCATGAGGTTTAGGGTTTAGAAGTGTGTGAATAGTAACGGATGAATACTATAGTAGCGGGTCATAAAAATAATACCCTGAATTCAACGCGTTTCAACTCATGGCGCATTCGAATTTTTTCCCTCCGCAAAGTCGGAAGTCTGTGCTGATGCCTAAATCAGCCATGGCGTTTACCATTGCTGCATCAGTACTAGGACAAGTCATTGGCTTCAGAGCAGAACGGTACAGCCTCAAGGCTGTGGCTTCCAAAACATTGCCTCTGACGACTGAAACCTCCGTTGGTAAGGTGATACGACAGAATAAAGCCCTAGATAGGATACCTTGTAGTCCGTGTTCGACAAGAATTGTATTAACACTTAAAAATTGGATTTTGTCCATTCATTTGTTATAACTCTATATCTACATGACACATCACAAGTTTTTAGCTTCAAGGATTAGAATTCCTTGAAAAAATTGTATAAAAAATGCCAACTTACATTTAGTTACGTGAAACAGAGAATCTTCAGACCCCTTTTTTATTGCAAAGACACATGATGAACATAAAATGGGTGGACTAGTGTGCACATTACCTAATATTAAAAGCACGAATAATTTCTATGAACTTATGAAACCTTTCACAAAGGAGTTTGTTATTTGCAACCAAATATTAATTTACCAACAAGCAGATAAAAGAAAATTCAAGCCAACTTGAATAAATATGGAGTATGGACATTCAACTTTACAAATTTTTATATAAGTGATGTCTTTTTTTTTTTCAAATGAAATGATAGGGGCTTTATTATGTTTTTTTTTAGTACATCGATATTTTTATACTAGGGATAGGGAGAGTTCGGCTAAGTCACACAATGGGCAACCTAATTTGGTGTCGAATTCACCATCCATAAGATTCGAACCGAAGACCTCTCACTTCCAAGTACTGAGTGGCTATGATATTAAAAATATTAAAAATTGATACAATCTTCAACTAGGACATTTTGGATAAAATTCAAGAAGTCCTCAATCCAAAGAAATTTCAACAAAACATAAAACGTCAACTTAGCCAAACTAGTTGTTATTAATATCCCCCTATAAAAATGTTCTGTAACCAGCTTTAATGAACAATCTGAATTTACGTATAAAAAATACGAAAATTTAATATGCTCCAGTATATAATGTGCACCGGAATTTTATATCGTTAGAAAATTCTCAAAATATAATCAACTTCGGAGTTGAATTCAAGTTTATATATAGTTATTGAAATTTATAGTTTGACTTAAATATTAGATGACACACCCTGACCTAGATCAAGGCATGTTGGCCATCACAAGAAGGCGATGTAGCCATGTGCGTAGTGCGGAAGAATAAAGATAAAAAGAAATGCGAATAAATAAAACCAAGCTAACTAAAAGTACAAGATAAGATAAGGGGCAAATGACGAGATTAAGTATGACTACACATAACTAAAGTATAGGTAACCTAAGTGCAGTCCAGTAGGACAAATACTAATTATACAATACCAAAGGTAGTCCTACATTAGTGATAATCTGTTAGAACTACCAACAAATGACACACCTACTCACATACTCAGCAATTTCTCTTTTCATACCCGGCCAAACCTAGGCTCTGATACCAAACTGACACACCTCAACCTAGATCGAGGCATGCTGGCTACGTCACCCTCTTGTGACGGCCAATATGCCTCGATCTAGGTCGGGGTGTGTCATTAGATTTTGAGAAGTAAATAATTTGGTATCATAAAGTTGTTTTTTCATTAGAGAAAAATGTTTGACTCTTTACATGTAAGAACTTATTTATTTTTTCAATCAAATTACAATTTGACACGTGTGCATAATATATATATATATATATATATATATATATATATATTTTGCGTTGAACAAGTCATTTTTAAATATATGTTAGATCGTGATTTGCCAATAAAAGAGAAATGATTCCTTACTCGTATATGTCAAACAAAATTCTTCTATAGACGAGCATCCTTCCCTAAATGTAAAGAGACATAAGTGTGTGTAGTAAATGTAAGCTTTGAGCAGTCATATTGTTCAAGGGCAATCGTATATAGAGTCAAGTCCCTTTCTTCTGTACTAGCCTTTCATGCACACGCTCAAGTGCATGCCGAAGGGATTTTTTGAAGCACGGTGTATTACGCATGATTTATACGTTTTAAATGTATTTTATATGCGTAAATTGACAAAAGGAAAGTCAAATATTTGAAGTAAATGAATAATCTTAGATCATGCTAGAAGAAACCCCTCATAAACCAGTCAAAGCAGCTTAATTCACATGCATAAATTGACAAAAGGAAAGTCAAATATGTAAAGTAAATGAATAATCTTAAATCATGCTAGAAGAAACCCCTCATAAATCAATTAAAGCAGCTTAATTCACGTAATAAAATTGGTCTCTATTGAATTTACATTAAGAACAGAGAAAATAATATTTAATAAACAATTGATTGAAAAATAATATTTAATAAACAAATGATTGAAAATTAATATTTAATAAACAACTAATTGAATCACATTATTGCTAGCCTATTGTGAGACTAAGTTCACTCCCCTTAGTGTAGATAATATCGTTCGTTCAAAAAAAAAAAAACAATAATTTAACAACTAATTTAATCATATTATTATGCGCGTGTGAAAGACTTTTTTTATAACCGGCATTACATGCCTTTAAGATGTTTTGAATATGTTTAAAAATAGAAAAAAATAATATTTAATGAACAACAAATTGAATCACATTATTTCTAACCTATTGTGAGGTACTAATTATAAAAAAAATAAAAAATAAAAAAAAATAAAAAACTGTACAAAAAAATAATTATTAAAAAAACACTATTAAAATGACAAAAATACCCCTGCCACATTTGATGCATTATTTTGGGCTACTTTTGAAGTTTTTTGTATGAGGGACAGTTTTGTCCACTTTTTTGTGGTGAAGCTTATGACCCCAAAAGGGGTTGTTGGTTTTATATATAACTAGCCTCTCTGCACGCACTAACGTGCGTGCGAGAGGCATTTTTGTATCGCGGGCGCTACGCGCCCCAAAGATGTGTTGTTTTAAATATTCTTATATTTCTTAAGTGATTATTTTATAAATTGTGTTTGTGTCCATCACAACAATTTCTTATTATTTTCAATTTTTTATTATGTTCAATCATCTAACTTAGTCTTTTTGCACCTGCCCATTGTACCCAAAAAATGAAATTTATGAATTGCACACTAACTATTCCACCGTCGTTTTTTTTTTTGTTTTTTGTTTGGCTAATAGAATTTGATTTCACGAAATGAGCTATGCTTGATCATTATTATGACTTTGGTAATTAAGTTACTCAGTGTAGTTAGAATTCTATTATATCCATCAGTACCATTTTACCCTTATATATTGTACAAAAGATGAAGAGTTAGGTTCCTTAAACTCTCATATAAAAAATAAAAAAATATGCTTAATTATTTAATGTTGTATAGAAAATATGAACTGATCAATATATTTTGTAACATGTGGATTAGTGGGTGTATTAAAAGGGTGCACAACAACATTTTTTTATTATTATGGTGGACAAAAAGGTATTATGGGCAATATTTGGCGTCATTCGAGCAGGTGGCAGATCATTTGTTCAATGGCTGTGTGAATGGGATAGTTGATGTGGTTAGAGGAGTGAGTACATAATTATGGGTGTGCCATTTTGGGTTCAGACTGAGATGTTCAACATTAGAGCATGGGTCAAGCTACGTAGTTCCAATTGCTTGAGTTGAAGAAAGGTTGATGAGATAATGGTGTTACCGTACAATCATCCCATCATTCCAAAGTGATAATGGTGTTATCGTATGCCATATTGTCATATTGCCACGTTTGTTGAAGAATTTAGGAGCATATATTCCATCCAATTTGCACATATGTGAGTAATCTCTCATACATTTTTTTGCTATTTTTTCTTTAAAACAACAACGAAGATAAAATGGGAAAACATATACTATTTATAAATAAAAAAAATCTGAAAATATGACATGTAATTTCATTTCTAAATACATATTGACAACACTTAATGTCCTTAGATCAAAATGTTTTAGATTCATAAGTTTTCAGTCAAAGTTATAGGCTAGCTAGGGATGAACTCCTAATATATGAAGCAAAGCAAAATATGGACAACATGTACATATGTAAACATAGCGTCTACGTGTGAAATCAAAGCCATGATTGCCACCCATTTGCTTGCACTTGATGCTTTAGATTTTCATGGTTAATCTGCAAGCAATGATGATAAAATAAGAAGTCTAACTGTAATGCACAATCCCAACTATAAAGATTGTAAGCAACTTAACCTAAATACCTTTAAGTTTGACAATTTTCTCATGGCAATATTTTTACTCCAGTTACTTGTAGAATACTGAAAGATAAATATATTTGTCAAGTTTGAGGTAACAAACTGTAACCATATTTACAAAATTAAATAATAAGAAATATTACCTTAATCTTGTACTTCAACCTTTGTACTTTAAGATGGGTGTGATGCTTGTAAAACTAACAAAAAATGCAATTTTATTTATATTTGAAAATTGAATGCAATTTGAATTTATAGTATACTTTTGTATGAAAATAAGAGAAGACTTACTGTATTTAGAAAAGTTGTTTGGCCTCTGTTAATCTTTTTCCTGCACCCATAAATTATTTTATTTTATTTTATAATTTGAGATAATTAATTTGTAGAATGATATAGAGAATGCCAATAAAAATAAATAGGTAAGAAATGGTGTTGTACATAATTTGTTGGACTTTATTCCAAATACGTATGATTTGAGGAGTTGTTGAAGGTTTTAATTCTTCTACAGCCTTTTTCATGCACCACCTATATATTGAAGGTATATATAAAATAATTAAGTTCCTTGTAACAAATTTAGTATATAATTTAGGATACATACTGCTCATGCTTCTTCTTTTTCCACTCTTTGAGAATCAGTTGGCTTAGATCAGTAGTTTTTACTCTGACAGATATCTCCCAACCAGGTGTAAAAATAGAGACACGTCCGTTTGGGATCTTATGAATAGGTAGTTCCTTCTTCATTTTTTGTGGGTATTCTTGTAAATATCCTGAGAATGAAAACAAATAATTTTTAAAATTACCATATGCAGATATTAGTATAATTTATTAGATTTTTTTAATATAGATATTAATATTTTCTCCTAAAATGGAGGAGAAGTTATTCCGTTCTTGTTTTGTTTTGTTTTTTTTTTTTTTCCAATATAACAAATTTTAATTTTTCTGTTTAATATCCCTCTCCTAAAATGGAGAGCAGTTATTCACCATGTGGCCTTTTTTTCACTTTATTTTTTAATATTTATCTCCTAAATTGGTGTTCTCCACTTTATTTTTTAATTGATTTGTTTTTATTAAAGTTTTGATTTTTGTTTTTAATTAAAATGTTGTATTTTAGGGTCTTAAAAGAAAATGAGGAACTGGGCGCACTTTTTTCTTTGTTTTACTGTCTAAACCGCAATAATGCTAAATTTTAGAGGATAATTATAATGCTTTTTTTAATTTTTTTATTTTCTGAAATTTATTCTTTTCCAATACAGTTTTTTTGTTCGGTTATGGTTTTTTTTACCAATTTGTCCTAGCTTTTTAAACTTTTAAAGGTTTGATTGTGAAGATAACAAAGGGGAAAATTAACATTTGAATTTGGACATATGTGAGTAATTCATTGAAAAATAATAGTGGTTTATTACTTAATTTGTTTATAATAATCCATTGAAGAATTTAATCTCTCTTTTGAGAGAGTTTCCCGAATTTGACTACATTTTAAGTTTTTGCCTAACATAAGGACTGAAAAAGCACGATTAATTGGAAAATAGATTATTATAAACAAAAACTCCCTATAGCCAAGAAACAAAATCCATGAAAAAGCACGATTAATTACCAAAGCTGTGTTGAATCTATTTTGTGTTCCTAAGTCATTAAGTTCATAAATCTAGGACTGAAAAAGATAACCATAAAAAATAATAGATGATAAGAAACACTTGCCGTTAAAAAAGTTATATTGTTGGTTAGCTTATGAATTCCCTGAAATATCCCATATTCATAAGAGCTATATAAAATTTGGAGCGCTTGCACATTGTAAAAACCAAATTGCCCAAGGCAAAGTATAAACACAACTAATATGAAAACATGTAAGCTTGGGTTTGTCTTTCAATGAAGAAACTCAAGTCCAAGTTGAATGAAACATAGAGTGACAAATGGCACCAAGTTTAGTTTACCTGGCTATTATGTGCCACCAAGTTTACTTTCGTCAACTTTAAGAGGAACTGTCACTAACTTTCAATAATTAATAAAGGAATCCTCATGTATAAAGGAACAGAAAATACATTAGATATAAACGTCTCCTTTTCAAAACCCATTACCAAAATCCTTCACAGTTCACACCACTACTTTCCCAGCAGTTGTTTCGTAATGTCTATCACTTTAGCGAAAACTCTACTATCCTAATCCTAATCAATTCATGAGCACACATATAACTAATGTGCCCTGTCTCCCATTTTAACTAAAAACACCCCCAAATAACACCAGCCAGCCATACAAAGCCACATACCACATCAAATATTAGGCACGATTTAGGTAACGAAATTCAGAGAGTTCAAATAACGAAATTTAAAGAAGTCAAAATAGTAGAAAGTCTTGGCAGGACAAAAATGTAAAGCACAAACCCAGTAAGAGTTTAGTTCAAGTTTTTTATACAATAGAAGGAACAAAAATCAATAAAATACATAGACTAATAGAGAAAGAATTGGAAAATAATTTGAAAACCTAATGGAAAAAGCACGATTAATTGAAAAATGGATTATTATAAACAAAAACTCCCTATAGCCAAGAAACAAAATCCATTGAAATAAAAATTGATGTACCTTGATGCTGGAAAGCCCCCCCTTGCACGCACCAAAAAAGGGATATGTCAATGAATGTTCACCACACACTAAAGTGTTGAATATTGATACATGCACTGAAAAAAGGAAAAGAAGACTGCGAACTAAAGCATGCCCTGAAATCGTCATAGTGAGCAAACAAAAATAAATTTACAAAAGGGATGGGACAAAAATTATTGATGAGGGACTGGAGGTAGATGAGACTTCACCTTTAACTGTTGAAGATCAATGCTATCAACGTGGGTATCAAGAAGAGGAGGAGAGCAGTTTCATTTCCTGTAAAAACGAAGGAACACAATATTAACAATGATACCGAATAGAACCTTGAGTAAATTTGAAGAATAGGAGAAAAGTACCATTTTATTGAGATAGAAATCAAAAGCCAAAGAAACGAAAAGGAAACAGTACAAAATTCAATTGAAACGGAATTCAAATTAAAAAAATTAATGGCTTCACTTTTTTAATTTTTTTATCAATTTTAGGATTCGAATTCAAGAGTGATGAAGTTGGAGACCGACCTCAGGGAAGAAATTGGAGACTTGGAAGCCTTGGGCAATGAGAGCGAGCAATCGCTTGAGAGCCTCGCACTTGTCTACGGGCCCAGGTTCAACTGTGGGAATTCCTTCTCCGAAACAAAATTAATACATAATTCAGAAAGTGGTGTACCTGATTTTGAAAAGCCTGTTGCATGCAGAGCACAAAACCCAGAATGGCAACAACAAAGAAGGAGATTTGTGACTGATTTTTTCAATCCTTTTTCTATTTCGAACGAATGGAAACCACACACTAATCTCGTGAAAACGAAAATGGATTTCCTTTTGGTTATTCATCTCTAAATATTAGTGGGGTGTGGGTAGTTACCGTTGAACCTCCCACTAAACTCAGTTCAGATCATGGGAATCCTCTAGATGAAACCGTCAACTGGTTGGCGCTTATTCCTCCTACATCATTTTTAGCATGTATTTACTTTTGATTATTATTTTTTTTTTGTCCTTCAACACAGTAGTTTTGTTTTTACCAGTTTGTCCCCATTTTCCGATTTTTGTGGATTTGGATTGTGAAGAAAACAAAGGGGCTTTCTTGGTATTTCTGAATGCTTCACCAAACTGGCCTTCTCCCTTTATATATATAGAAGAAGTATCTTGTTCATTTCTTCACACCAACTACCCTACCTTCACCGAACCTTGCGAAACCATGGAATTAAAAACCATAGCCAACTAATAATACCAAAACAACGTGAGAATTATATACTAACATGATTGATGATTGAATTCTCAGCCTGTAAACTGCAAGGCTGGACAAGAAAGTGATTAGATGCAAGGACATACACAGCATAGATACACTCTCAGCCTGTAAACTGCATACTGCATAGGTTTCTTCAAACCCAGCTTTCTGGCTGGGAATCTTGAGGGTCTGTCTTAATGCGTTTATATTTCTTCAGAGTTCCCCAGGATTTGTTGACTAAGAACCGAATGGCGCAGTCTAGGAACGGGCATTGTTCATATACCGTACAGTTAGTGGATTTTCTTGGAAGCCAACTTAATCCAACAGCTGCCCTTTTATTTTTAAGAACCGGAAACTGTTTAGTTAGAAGGACAGAAACATGGAAGCAAATATAGGGTAAATAATGAGGAAATTGTGAGGAAAGAATACTACGAATTCAATTTGGGTTAGTCTATGGTACACCTTAATAAAAAAGTATCAGTATCATTCAAGTTCAACATTGCTAGTATAATGCAATTACGTTCAAGTATAATATCAAACATTTACAGTGTAATATGAGGTTTACAACGTATAGACCAACTTTGGTATATTAATACTAACATCATTACATGGAATTAGGTTTAACAATAAGATTATTATGTAACTTTGGAGTGTGAATTTGAATAATATAGTGCAATTTACACTTTTTCGTAATTCACACATTGAATGCTAACCTCATATTGTAATACCATTACGCTAAGTAGGGAGGCCGTAAGCAAATTACGGTTGTGATTTCATGACGTCCCCAAGTACTAACCTACATCTATACTGTAATAAGACATCCATGGTATAACCTATGTCTATACCGTGTAATCATTAACATTGATAATAGTAACGGAATCACGTCTAATTAATAATAACCTACTTTGTCAATTAATATGACGTCAACAACATTACCATCAACCATGTTATAGTAATTTTTTTTGTCAATCTTTCTTATAGTAATTACAACATCATTTTGTGTTATTAACTATCATTTTACCAAATCATATTTACATTATAAATATAGAATATAATACTTGAACGTGATTGCATTACATTATCAACGTTCAGTTTATATACTAAACGATAACTTAGAATTTCCCTTTTAAAGTTACGCAATACCTACAGATACAAAACAAAATTAGGAAAGAAAATAAGTAAGCAATCCCATTCCCAATTGCATCTGTTAGGAAAGAGAGTGGCGGCAAAGCAATAAACACTGCAATAATAATTCTGATGAGTCCTTTCTAGTGTTTCATATAGTCCAAGTAATAAATGAATAGAATAAAAACAGCATCTTGTAAGGAGGGGAGGCACTACACCAAAGGTTGAAATTTGTCAGATGGGGTTCTTATTGTACGCTTACTACAGTTACAAGACACCGTCTCAGATTTCAGACCCCCAGAAGTAATCTGATTCCAGAGACTTCAATTCCCTCCACCGGAAAAGGTAATTCGAACCTTCACTTCTTTCTTGCCCAGTTGCACTTCAAGTATCATACTCTTATCCTATTTTTCTATGTTTATTTAATATTTTGTGCAGTTTTGGAGGGATTGAATTGAAAATTAGTGTTCTTTCTTTCTTTGGTTGGTTCTTTTTTTATGTGGATGAGCCAACCGTTATCAAATTTTGGTTCTTTTGGATTAATTCCTTGATGGGTTTTTCTGGGTTTTCGGTTCGGAATTAGGAGCTGAATCGATTGGTTGATGGGTTTTTCCTTGTGGTATTTTTAGGTGGAGGTGATACTATAAAAGATATTCCAAAGCAGGTATTGCAGAAAAGGCAGCAAAGGTAAGAAGAAGGTAATTTGGCTCAATCCCTCGATAATCTGGAGGGTGCATTATCATTGATTTAAATAGTGTACCATGACTTGATGTACAAGTATAATTAATATACAAATAATACATAAGGGGAATGTTTTAATAATACAGGGAAATCTGGAAAGCATTATGAAACAGGAAACAATCTCAAGAGATCATGAATATATCATCTTTTATGCTACAAGTGGCAGTTCTGGATCGATTCCTTGATAGGATTTCTTGTTTGATGATTTAGAGATAGGCCTTGGAAGTCAGTGATTGGAAGGAACAGTTGTTTGTGATTTGGAGAGGTTTTGTTGAAAATACAGAGCTTCAGATTGATTGGTTGGTTGGTTGTGATTGGATTTTAGTAATAATCGCTGCTTTGGTGAGAGGTGTTGTATAGTTTGTAAACTTATCACCCACATTGGTTTGGTATTAGTTCATAAACTAAATACCAACAATTATTCCATTTCACATTTGAATCTTAACCATGAATATTCCAATCGCAATCTTCCTTGCATCAACTGCAATCTTTCTTTTCCACTTCATCAGGTTGAAAACCTGCAAACGAAGCAAAGAAATTCTCCCTCCAGGTCCAAGGCCATGGCCAATTGTTGGTTGTGTGCCACAAATGTGGAGGAACAGGCCAGCCTATAAATGGGTACATAGCATTTTGGAAGAATTCAACACGGACATTGCCTGCATAAAATTAGGAAATGTTCATGTCATCGCAGTGAAATCACCAGAAATTGCCCGGGAGTTTTTGAAGAAAAATGATGCAGTTTTTGCATCAAGACCTGTTACAATGGCCACCCATATTTTAAGCAGTGGCTACGTGACCACAGGTGTTGTGCCTTGGGGAAGCCAGTGGAAGAAAATGAGAAGGGTCTTGATTGCTGATGTGTTCAATCAGTCTAGGGTTCACTGGCTACTTGGTCAAAGAAATGAAGAAGCTGATAATCTTGTTAAGTTCCTATATAATCAGTGCTCGGTGAATCCGAATGGTTCAGTAGTGAATGTGAGGACTGCAGCCCTATTTTACTCAGGAGGTGTCATGAGAAGGATGATTTTCAACTCAAGGTACTTTGGCAAAGGGAGAGAGGATGGGGGGCCTGGTTTGGAAGAGGAAGAACACGTATCCGCTCTTTTGACCATGCTCTTGCATGTGTACGCATTCTGTGTATCGGATTATCTTCCGTGGCTTAGAGTGTTTGACATAGGCGGCCATGAGAAAAAGGTGAGAGATGCTTTGAAGATTACCAAACATTATCAAGACCCTGTTATAAACGAGAGATTACAACAATGGAGAGATGGGAAAAGGACGAAGCCTGCGGACCTGCTTGATGTTTTCATTTCACTCAAAGATGCAAATGGACAGCCTTTACTCTCTAGTGAAGAAATCAAAGCGCAAATCACAGTGAGATATTCTTACCACCCTCGAATATTTCGGATCCTTTGTCAATGTTTAATTTTCTAAATAAAATTGTGCGCTTATGTCAAAACTATGATTTATACGTATTTCCATTTAATGATTAATGTTTTGTTGTCAAAGTTGTGGTGTCGTCTCGATGTTTTGTTGATGTTTATTGGGCTAAAAAATTTCTCATGCCCTAATTTACGAAGATTTAAACTTTCATTTCATTTTTTGTCCAATTTAATTATATGAGTTCTAAATAGTAAAAATAAAAACTCGAACGTTCACAACTTTGAAATGTCAAGGCGTAAGCATAAAATACTAGAAGCACATAAACATAACCTGACGATCCTATTTCTTATTGTTTACGTGCAGTCTAATTAGATTTTTGTCAAAAGAAAAATGGTTTCAATATTAGGAACCGATTGGAAATGGTTTTTTTTTTTTTTCTTTTCTTTTTGGCATTTATATTTAGATCAAATTTGAAAAGTTAAACTAAACAACCCTAAATGATTGAAAATTATGCAGACAGTAGTTTGAAACTATAATATTCATGGTATGTTTAATTCCATAAACTACTATTAGTCAGACTTAAAAAAGGAAATGGATACCATTTAATTCCCAAATTTAAAACCTATTTTGTAACCATTGAATAGGAACTGCAGCTTGCAACAGTGGATAATCCTTTCAATGCAGGAGAGTGGGCTCTATCGCAAATGCTGAACCAGCCTGAGATGCTTAAGAAAGCAGAAGAAGAACTAGATAGGGTGGTGGGAAAGCATAGGCTTGTTCAAGAGTCTGATATCCCTAAGCTCCCTTACATAATGGCTTGCTCAAGAGAAGCCCTTAGGTTGCATCCAGTTGCACCATTTAACCTACCCCATGTGTCTAATGCAGATGCTGTAGTTGCAGGCTACTTCATCCCAAAGGGGAGTGCTGTTCTCCTCAGTCGTTTAGGCCTCGGGCGCAATCCTGAAGTTTGGGAAAATCCATTGAGATTCAACCCGGAACGCCATCTGAATGGAGATGCTGATCAACAAGTTGAACTGGAAGAGCATGAGCTGAGATTCATTACGTTCTCTACCGGAAGGAGAGGATGCATGGGTGGTTCGCTAGGGACTACCATAACCGTAATGCTCCTTGCAAGGCTTCTACAAGGGTTTACGTGGAGCATGCCACCCAATGTAGACAAGATTGACCTCACTGAGGCTCTATCTCTCTTCAAAGCCAACCCCTTGTATGCACATGCTAAACAGCGGTTGCCTGCAACTCTATACTTGGTTTAGTGACCATGCATAGATAATTTGCCGTTAATTAAAAAGTAATTATGGCGTATTTTTTATGCAAGCAATAAATGAGATGTTTATTATTATTATTATTATTATTTTGGAAGAAACGATGTTATATACACTAAGGGGAGGAGATGAGTTTAGCCTCATAATGGGCTAGCATGACACGCCTCGACCCCGATGTTTGAAGGACAACGGGATGGCCACGTGCTGGCCAACACCCAAGGTGACGCAAGTCATTTCATGAATGCATATGCCGAGAACATGTAAAACATGCATAACAATTACGCGTAACCACACAATATAATATCAAAAAACAAACCTTAACAAAATAATAGTAATAAGGTACGGGTCACTGGATCAAAGGAGAATATTCAACTGCCAACAATTTAAAAGTGATAATGCATGAACATGTTCACAGCATACTACTAATTCGAAATACAAGCGGAAGGGATATTGGAAAGTGCGATTACAAGAGATGTCCTACGTAGAAAGGAGGACACAAATTCACTGATATGTAAATGCCTCATAGCTCATATTGTATGCCTTGTTCCTAGGTGCTGAAAGAGGCGCAAAACAAAACATGAGTGGACCAAATTGATATATATATATATATATGTAATACTAAAACAATTACTCTTCAAACGTACTAATCCCCAAGTTTTAGAAAACCTCATATAGTATAATAAGTAGTAGGTATTCCGAAAACCCTAGCATGCCATAAAACTTTTGTAAAACATATATATATATATATATATATATATCATAATCGCCCGAAGGCACATATATTATCCGCCTAAAGGCACATATATCATATGTCCAAAGGCACTACATTGCCCACCCGAAGGCACATTGTATGAATATCCACTAAGTAAGCGTAGAAAATCATGAACATAATCTTTCCAAAATATATATCATCGGAGCTCAATAGCTCAAACATCATATCATAAATTTAGGATTTACACAATCACACTTAAACAAGAAGTTTACAACAAACATATCAAAATTTCTTTTAGCTATTATATATCACTACATAACTACATGGAAAGAGAATGACAATTATTTTAAAGAGTCTGAAGCTACCAAGGAGGAAAAAAGGAGCCAAAAGCAAAAGAATATATTGTACAACAAGAATCACTTTCAAGCTAAAGATTTTTTCATTCCCGTGTATGGTCCAACTCCACGTGAAGAATGACAACATGAAGTTTCGCATGGGCAGAAATCTACCACAAGCTGCATGACCTAGACTATGCATACCTATAGCAAGCACATCCGTTTATCCAAGAAGAACCAACATAAATTATTATTCCAAATTAAGTAGCAAACCAAAACCAAGCAGATTGCACAAATTCATGTTGAAAAATAAATGATTAATGGTTTCTTGATTGTTGTTGACAAATTGGTACCAGAAGAAGGCCTCAATGTGACAATGTTGTAGTTGATCCTCAATTGAAAGCTTAAGAAATTATCATCCAAACGAAGAATGGGATAAACGGATGCTGAATAATAGAAGCCCAATTCTTAATAGAAAAACCAACAATGAACAGTTTCACAACATAGATACTACCCCCATTATTTATCAAATTGTGTCATTTAGCAGCGCGGTCCGATAACCCCAAAATCCACTGTACCAATTTAGGCTGAGGGACAGACATAGGCCCCGAAAAGAAAAAGGTAAAATGGCATGACCCATTTTACATATCTATATTATAGGGTTTGCATGGATCCCTGTAGGCTGTATCTCGTTGTTTGCCTGAAAATCCTTGGAGGAAATTCCAATTACACAATTTTTGCGGCAATGCTATCGGCCATATTAACTCTCATGGTCGACTCGTTTCCCATGGGTTGTTGTAAGAAACGTAGTCCCCAGCTTAATGTGTCAGCCTGTACTAATCACGACGTGCTAAAGAAGGTCACGGTGCGCACATGGGGTGATCTTTGAAAGTGGACAGCAATTGTTATGCTAACATGTTGTGCCTTAGATAAACGTTCTCTTATCAAACAGTTTGTAAAGTACTGTATCCATGAACAAATAACTTATCAAACTAATTTTTGTCCCTTTTAGTAGGTACTAGACCGCTAATTACCGCTCCCTGTAACATTTCTAGGGATAGGCCTCTCCAGAGTGTACAGTGAGTGACAAATCCCAATCCCACAGCTCTGATCGTGGTACGACTATTGAACGCTTCATCAGCTGGCCTGCTCAAATATGTGGCATCGGTGGATTTGCTAGCATCTGATTTTATGAGCCCTTAATTGCAAGGCAACATAAAACTTCAGGTATGGGCTTATGCGGCAGTTCTCTCAGGTGCTGGAGGCATGTCCTTGTTGGCTAAATGGACCTAGAAAACTGCATTTGCAAAGTCATACCCTGCTGTTCGCGGTGTCATTCCACTCTCAAAGGCTTTTCAGCCCCCTTCAGAAATGAAACTTAATTAAGTGCTCACCAGCAATAGTTGCAGCCAGAGCAGCCCTGTCGCCAACTGCATTTGCAAAGTCATACCCTGCTGTTCGCGGTGTCATTTTCAGCCCCCTTCAGAAATGAAACTTAATTAAGTGCTCACCAGCAATAGTTGCAGCCAGAGCAGCCCTGTCGCCAACTGCATTTGCAAAGAACCTTCGACCGGAACCCTTTCCGGCAAAAGTACTTGTAATCGGATCAATTGGCATGGCAGCCAATGTTCCTTTAGGGATATGTAGAGAGCACACCAAAATATTCTCGCTATCTTAGTTCGCTGCAGCCGTGCATGCAGGTGTGCCATTCATAGCCATGCTCGCGGCGGAGAAATTTTTTTTTTAAGAAAGGATTATATGTTAAAAGTTACGATTTTAGCGTGAATTCTATCATCATTGATAGACTTATAAATACCCCACCCCCGCCAACAATGCTTTGTCCAGCCAGCCGTGGTTAACCTTTAAGATCAAAATGAAACCCTACCCCTATTTACGTTAAAATATGGACCTGCTAGGGTTTCGCAGTTCCTAGGGTTTAGGCCGTGAGAGGGAAATATTGAAGATAGTTTTATTTCATATCTTTTCTTTACAAGAAGTACAAGATTTATACAATATGCATGAGGCTATTCTAGGAAGACAACTATACAAGGATTACACGGATCACTCTGTTCCTATAATAAAGGAAAGGAAACAATCTTCAATGATACTCCAAGATATTGTCGCTCAATACTCCCCCTCAAGGTGGAATGTGAATGTCAATCACACCCTCCTTGCCAAGTAATGATTGAAACATCCCTTGTCCAAGCGGCTTGGTGAATATATCAGCCAACTGTGCTCCAATACGAACGTAAGCTGTCGTGATAACCCCTGATTGAATACGCTCACGAACAACATGGCAATCGATCTCTATATGTTTGGTACGCTCGTGGAACACGAGATTGGCTGCTATATGAAGAGCCGCTTGATTGTCACAATGTAGTTTCGCTGGCATACAATGATCAACTCGTAAGTCAGCCAACAAATATTTCATCCATGTAAGCTCACACGTTGCAGAAGCCATAGCACGATACTCCGCTTCTGCTAAAGACCGAGAAACGGTGGTTTGTTTCTTAGTCTTCCAAGACACCAATGCACCTCTAAGAAATATGCAATAACCCGTGACGGATCTCCTTGTAATTGAACATCGAGCCCAATCAACATCACAATATCCAGCCAAGATTAAGTCCCCCTTTGAAGGAAATAGAAGTCCTTGTCCAAGTGCCTCTTTTAAGTATCGCAATAGACGATGGACTGCATCTAAATGTGGTTTTCTTAGTTGTTGCATGTATTGGCTGAGTACATGAACTGCATATGAAATTTCTGGCCTAGTGATCGTGAGGTAAATAAGTTTACCAACAAGTCTCCTATATTTCGAGGCATCATGAAGAACTTGCCATTCCGTTGGAGATAACTTCAAGTTTTCTTCCATGGGAAATTTTGCAGGTTTGGCACCAAGTAAGCCAGCTTCATCAAGAATATCAAGCGTGTATTTCTGTTGCGAGATAGAAATACCTTGAGAAGATCGAGCCACTTCTATGCCGAGAAAGTATTTTAATGATCCAAGATCCTTGATTCGAAAATGAGTGTGAAGGAACTGTTTGAGATCACGAATGGCCTCTTCATCGTTGCCTGTGATAATCATGTCATCGACGTAGATTAGTATAGTTGTGAATGAGTGATCACGTACCTTGGTGAACAAGGAACAATCAGCCTTGGATTGTTGATATCCGGTTTGGTGTATGGCAGTGGAAGATTTGTGAAACCAGCTTCGAGAGGCTTGTTTGAGCCCATAAAGCGACTTGTTGAGTCGGCATACATTGTGCTCCTCCTGCCGACGAAGACCAGGAGGCAGTTGCATATAGACTTCTTCCCCAAGGTCTCCATGGAAGAAGGCATTTTGAACATTCATTTGGTGGAGAGACCAATGACGAACAGAAGCCACGGCCAAAAGACAGCGGACGGTAATGAGTTTTGCAACGGGGGCGAATGTCTCTTTGTAATCGATACCTTCACGTTGTGTAAAGCCCTTGGCAACAAGGCGAGCTTTATAACGCTCGACATACCTATCTGAATGATACTTGACCTTATAAACCCATTTGCAACCAATAGCTCGATGACCGAGAGGAAGACGAGTGAGAGTCCAAGTATGATTTTGTTCCAAGGCTAGGAGTTCGGATTGCATGACGGCTTGCCATGCAGGATCACTATTGGCTTGCTCGAAAGTAGTAGGTTCGACAATGATGGAAAGGGCACAAGCAAAAGAACGATGTGAAGAAGAAAGATGAGCATAAGAAACATAATGAGATAAAGGATAACATGTACCTGACATGGAAGAGGAGGTGGCACTGGGAGTAGGAGATTGTACATGATATAAATGATAGCCCTGAAGTCGCACGAAAGGTTTAGGAGGACGGTTGGAGTGGCGAGTGGCAAGGGGAAGAGGTGAAGAAGTAGGTTCGGTGATGAGAGTGTCCTGGGAAGGGGTGGTGTCGAGGGAAGGTGTTGTGTCGAGTGATGGTAGGGTGGTGGGATTGGTGGCAGGGGCAGTTGGATCTATAGGAGGGGTAGGTGTCGGTGGAATACTAGAGTC